AGACGAGGAGAAGGACAACGAGGATGAGGAGGACGAGGATTCAGAGAGTGAGGATGAGCAGGAATGGGAGGGAAGGAGGAGGAGGAGGAGGAGGAGGAGGAGGAGGAGGAGGAGGGCTCTCTTGGAGCGCTGTTGGGCGCTTTGGGGGCCGTCTTGGGGCCCTCTTGTGGCCCTCTTGGAGCTCTCTTGGGGCCCTCTTGGGGCTTTCTTGGGAACCCTGGAGGCCCTCTTGTGGCCATCTTGGAGGCTATCGATCTAAAGAGGGAGCTCCTTTATATCCGTCCCCCTTTTGGGGCCCTCAATACCGTCTCTTGGGGCGCTCTTGGGGCCCTCTGGGGGCGCTCTTGGGCGCTCTTGGGACCGTATTGGGGGCCTCTTGGGCCCCTCTTGGGGCTTTCTTGGGCCATCTTGGAGCCATCGTGAGGCCCGAGAAGCGCATCGGAAGCGAAAAGGCGAGAAGGCAAAAAATCACTGATGCTTCAAGGTTTTTAAGGATTTTGGTTTTTCGGGTCCTGAGGGGTCCTTGAGGGCACCTGGAACCGTCTCGAGGCCTTCGTGGGGCCTCTTGGAGGCATGTCGGAAGCTGTCTTGAAGCATCTTTGGTTGTCTTGACCCGTCCTGGAGGCCATCCTGGAGCATCGGAGGCCCTCTTGGAGCCAGCTTGGGCCATCTTGGACGCTCCAACCCCTCGCGGAACCCCTCGTCCAGGTCCAGGGGAGGGGGTAGGGGTAGGGGGAGGGGTCAAGACTCCCTCCCAGCCCGCAAGCCGTCTCGCTCACTCCCACTCGCACTCCCAACACACACGTAGCACCCGAGCCTGGCCCGAGCCGCAGCATTTTCAGCAGTCGTCTTTGGATGGGCAGCCACTGGGGGCGAATCCGCCGCCGCCGCCGCCCGCCGCCGCCGCCGCGCCGCCGCCGCCGCCGCCGCTGTCCCGCCGCCGCCGCCACCGCGCCGCCCGCCGCCGCCGCCGCCGCCGCCCCCGCTGCCGAATCGCCGCCGCAGCAGCCGCTGCCGCCGCAGCCGCTGCCGCCACCGCCGCCGCCGCCGCCACCGCCGCCGCCGCCGCCGCCACCGCCGCCGCCGCCGCCACCGCCGCCGCCACCGCCGCAGCCGCCGCAACCGCTGCCCCCGCCGCAGCCGCCGCCGCCGCCGCCAAGTGTACTCTGTGTTTTTTTGTTGACAGGGATGGCGGGGGGAGGCTGCATCGGGTTCGCTGCGCATGCTCCGAATTTGGAGGCAGAGTGTGTTTTGTATAGGTTTTTACAAGGGATGGTGGGCGGGGCCCTCATTGTCTCGGGTTGGCTCCCAGTCGCCTTGGGGAGGGGGTGTATATTAATACGGGAAGGGGAAGAAGGGGTTGTGCAAGAGGGAAGAGGAATCTCGTAAGACCACCTGTCGCCCAGAGGGCTGGTGGGATTCTCGTGTTGGTGCCGAGGGCACAAAGACAAAGGTTCCCCCCTGCCCACGATGCGGCCTCCGATTGATTACCACTGGCGGCCTGGACGCAAAGGTGGGCCAGCGGCCCTGCGCCCGATTCGGACGCGGATGGGTTACCAAACGCACCCTGGACGCAAGGATTTTCCCTGCGCCCGATTCGGCCTACGGCTTACGATAGGTTACCACCGCCGGCCCGGAGACAAGGGTTTCCCCTTGCGCCCGATTCGGCCGCCGATGGGTCACCACTGGCTGCCCGGAAACAAGGGTTCTTCCCTGCGCTCGATTCGGAAGCGGATGGGCTACCGCCCGAGCCCCAGACGCAGGGGTTCCTTCTTCGTCCGATTCGGCCGAGGATGGGTTACCACCCGCGGCCTGGACACAAGGGTTTCCCCTTGTGCCCGGCTGCCGACGTCCTCCTGAATTCCTGCTCTTCCTCTTCCTCCTCCTCCTCCTTCTCCGATGGCTCGAGGGAGTGGCCTTTTGGAGAGCTCAAAAGTGGCGACCGGCAGGATTTGGTTGACCCGGCTAAGATTGGCCCGCGATGGCTCGCACCACCTTGTCACAGAGTTTGGATGACCCGCTCGGATTCCAACATGGAGGTGAGGGCTCGAACCACCAGTGAGGGCCCGCATCGCCCACATATTTTGCTCGGATGACCCGCTCGGATTCCAACATGCAGTGCGGGCCCCATAAATCAGAGCCCCGAATCATCAGGGGTAACTCGGGTCAGGGCTAACTCGGGTTCGTTTTTCGGGAATCCAAGCCCGATTTACCCCGGACCCGAGTTACCCTGGATGATTCGGGCGTCCAGAGCCCCACATCATCAGGGGTAACTCGGGTCAGGTCTAACTCGTGTTCCTTTTTCGGGAATCCGGACCCGAGTTACCCCGGACCCGAGTTACCCCGGATAACTCGGGCGCCCAAATAAAGATGGGGCTCCCGCTCGAGACTTCCTCGTCATGCACTCACAGACGAGGCCCCCGCTCGTGACATCCTCACGATTCGTTCACAGAGGAGGCCCCCGCTCGCGACACCCTCCCGATTCGTTTCCTAGGGGTGCCCAAGTGCTTGTAGGCCGGTGACCACCCGGGGCTCAAACACGAAATGCGGACACCATAGGGACGGGGCTACCGCTGGAGACTTCCCCGCCATTCACGCACAGTCGAGGCCCCCGCTCGAAACATCTTCACGATTCGCCTCCTAGGGGCACTCTGGTGCCATGCCTGCGATGGTAGGCCGATGACCGCCTGGGATTCGAAGATGAAGTGCAGACCCCATAGGGACGGGGCTCCCGCCTCAGATTTCCTCGCCATTCGCTCACAGACGAGGCCCCTTCTTGAGACATCCTCACGATTCAACTCCTCGGGGTGCTCAAATGCTTTGCTTGCTATGGTAGGCCGATGACTGCCTGGGATTCGAACATTCACCCACAGACGAGGCCCCTGCTCGAGACATCCTCACGATTCGCCTCCTCGGGGTGCTCATGTGCTATGCCTGCTATGATAGGCCGATGGACGCTCGGGAGTCGAATATGAAGTGCAGACCCCATAGGGAGGGGGCTCCCGCTGGAGACTTCCTCGCCATTCGCTCACAGATGAAGCCCCTGCTGGAGACATCCTCACGATTCAACTCCTAGGGATGCTCAAATACTATTCGTGTGAGATGATGATGATGGCTATGATGCGAATGATGCTGATGATGATAATGATGATGATGCCTGGGACAGAGCTCGATGATGATGATGATGATGATGATGATGATGATGATGATGATGATGATGATGATGATGATGATGATGGTCATCATGGTGGTGGTGGTGGCGGTGGTGATCATGGTGTGGTGGCGAATGAATGAGTGAGTGAGGTGCGAGTGAATCGGTGAGTGAGTAAGGGAGTGATAATGATGGTGTGATGATGATGGCTATGATGGTGATGATACTATCGCGGTTGTGATGACGATGCTGTCAATGATGACGATGTTGATGTTGATGCTGATGGATGATGACGATGCTGATGATGACGAGAATGATGATGATCGGGACCGAGCTCGATGATGATGCTGATGATGATGGTGGTGGTGGTGGTGGCAGTGGTGATCATGGTGTGGTGGCGGATGAATCGGTGAGTGAGTAAGGGAGTGATAATGATGGTGTGATGATGATGGCTATGATGGTGATGATGCTACCGCGGTTTTGATGACGATGATGTCAATGATGACGATGTTGATGCTGATGACGATGTTGACGCTGATGCTGATGGATGATGATGATGATGATGATGCTGATGATGATGATGATGATGATGATGCTGATGATGATGAGAATGATGATGATCGGGACCGAGCTCGATGATGGTGCTGATGATGATGGTGGTGGTGGTGGTGGCGGTGGTGATCATGGTGTGGTGGCGGATGAATCGGTGAGTGAGTAAGGGAGTGATAATGATGGTGTGATGATGATGGCTATGATGGTGATGATGCTACCGCGGTTTTGATGACGATGATGTCAATGATGACGATGTTGATGCTGATGACGATGCTGATGCTGATGCTGATGGATGATGATGCTGATGATGCTGATGATGATGATGATGATGACGATGACAATGGTGATGGTGATGGTGATGGTGATGGTGATGGTGATGGTGAGAATGCGAGGGGGTAGGAGAGATCCTGCGCGGGGGGGATGTAGAGAAAACAAGAACCCCACTTAGGACGTGTAGAAAAAACAAAGGAAAGCCATTGTTGCTTGCCTCTCGGGACCCTCTTGGGAAGACTCTTGGGCCTCTCTTAGGGCGTCTTGGGGCGTCTTGAAGCCATCGTGGGCATCTTGGGCCAGTCGTTCGGGGACTCGGGACCATCTTGGCACGTCTTTGAGGTCACGAATGGCAGATTTCGACGCTCCTGAGCCTCAGCGAGCCCGGATACCCTCCCCTCCGCAAACCCGACTTTGGACCCTGGAGGAGGGGAAAGGGGGGAGGGAGACAGCCAATCATCTCTCACGCCCTCACACCCCCAGCAAGCGGGGGTCGGAGAATCCGTTCTACTTCACTCCACGGTTCGGGGCTCTACTCCACTCTGCCTTCATCTCCCCTCCCTCGTCTCCCTGTTCCCCCCTTCCTCGCTTCTCCTCGCCCTGTCAGCGATCCGCAGCCATTTGCAAGCGAGGCCGAATCCCTCGAGACCTACCGCCCAGCTCCAAGCTTCATCAATGATGCGTGGCCGAACGAGAGGGCACCGTGGCGGCCGACCACACCACAGCCCGCAGCAGCAGCACGATGGAGGAAGCCAAGAATGGGGGTACGGTCGAGGAGATGTGCCGGCCAAGTACCTCGTGGACGTTTTCTCTCGTGGATCCAAGAACCACCACAAGGATTAAGTCGGGCGTGTCCCCTCACAGGGGGATTTTCGACGAAAGATAAAAAATACGCAAGAAATACTCCAAAATGAAAATACTCCAACAACAGTCCCCAGACTATTTTCTACTATTTGTGAATATTCCTCCTGTAGAGGGACAGGCCCGACTTAAACACAAGGACCAGTGCACGCCCTGCCGGCACAACATGACCGGAGTGGAATGCCCAGGAGGACGCCTGTGCAATTGTTGCCACTACTACCACGGCCCCGAGGTGCTCCTCGCCATGAAGCTCTACGCGTTCCTGCGGAAGCAGGGAAGTCACGGCAAAGACGCGGGCTCGATGCCGGTGCCTGAGCGTGCCCACCTGTGCAGGATGATTGCCAACGCCTCCATGCACGTCTCCGCTCAGCTGGCCGCCTCGGCAGGCGGTGGCGCCGGCCAGCGGGCTGGCGCCCTGGCAGGCATCCCAGCAGAAGCGGACGCCCAGGTTCAGGAGGGGAAAAGACACACAGACACATTGAATCGTCGATTCCCCAGAAAATGAGGGGAAAATATGGGAAGTGGGGGGGGGAAGACAACAACCCAGAAAATACGGGAGCATGTGGGGAATCCTGCTATCTGTGTCTGTTCATTCGGAAGTGTCCCAGGGCCCCTTCACAGGTGCCGAGCCCGCCTGCCCCGCTGCCCCAGTCTCTGGTCGCCTCCTGGAGCCACCTCGGCCCTGCGCAGCTCGTGGCGCTGCTGCGGGCGGCGACGCCGCAGTGCTACGAGGACTGACCCGCGAGGCCGAGGCGCGCGCGGCCTGCTGAGGCCAGACCGCCAAAGCGGGGCAAGCGGTGTCGAAAAAGATCGCACCGCATCGCCGACGCACGTGACCCCATTGGGGGGGAGGGGGAGGAGGAGGAGGAGGAGGAGGAGGAGGAGGAGGAGGAGGAGGAAGAGGAGGAGGAGGAGGAGGAAGAGGCCCCACGTTGCTTCGTCCCGACGTCGCCGAAGTGTCAACGATGCATCGGAGATGCGGTGTGATCCTCCGACCCCCAGCCGCTCCGACGTCTGTGGAGCGGCCGACGCCGAAAGCACCCGCCGGGGCGCGCGCAGTCCAAGTCGCGCGGTGCAGAGTGCAACCCTTTTTTCGCTATCCAGTTCTTCTCCTCCTCCTCCTCCTCCTCCTCCTCCTCCTCCCTCCTCCTCCTCCTCCTCCTCCTCCTCCTCCTCCTCCTCCTCCTCCTCCTCCTCCTCCTCCTCCCCCCCCCGCCATGCAGAAACGCGCTAGATCTCAGTCGTCCCCGCACATATTTTCCCACGTCCGCTCGAATACGGGGGCATCCTTGCCTCCCGCGGTAGATGTTTGCGCCTGGTGTGCGACTCTCGTGGCGCCGGGCGCCGCCCCGTGGTGGCCTCTGCCGGTCGGCCCGTGTGGCGCGAGGCCACCGTCGTTCTCGGAAGAGGTTGCCTCTGGCAGCATGGGAGCAGGAGGGGGGGAGGCGCGGGAGGACCACGTGTCTGAACCTGAAGTCGGGTTTGTCCCTCTACAGGAGGAATGTTCAAGAATAGTCCAGAAATAGTCTGGGGACGATTTTTGGAGCATGTTCTGACCGTTTGGGGGTATGTTTAGTGTATTCTTTATGTTTCGCCCAAAATCCCCCCTGTAGGGGGACACGCCCGACCTAATCTTGACCCTTCCGCGCAGGCTCCAGGGGCGAGGCACACGCCTACAGCAGGCGGCGCAGCGCCCTCCGCGCCCTGGACCTCGCCTTCGTTCTGCCTCTGCGCACCTCTGGGCACGGGCGCGTCCACCTTAGGGGGCGCGGTGGTGCCCGAAGGGAGCTCGCCTCCGCCCTCTTTTGCGCCTTCCATGCGCCGCCCGCAGAGGGGCGCACGAGCCTCTCCGAGCGCCCAGGTCTGCTCTGGGCCGCTCCGGATCAGCAGCCAGTTTCGGAGGCCCGCGCAGATTCTCATGATTTTGCGCTGGACCCCCCAGGAGGAGGAGGAGGAGGAGGAGGAGGAGGAGGAGGAGGAGGAACAGGAGGAGGAGGAACAGGAGGAGGAGGAGGAGGAGGAGGAGGAGGAGGAGGAGGAGCGCGCCGCCAAAGGTGCCCCCTCCCTCTGTCGCTGGATCATCGCCCTCCTTCGCCGGATCTTTGCTCCCGCGGACGCTGGGCTCCGGACCCCCTTCTGTGCGTCGGTTTGTTCGCAGGTGGCCTCTGGCGAGCGGCCAGTGTGGCAGGATTGCCACCGTCGCTCTTTGGAGGAGGCTGCCCCTGGCAACGACGGGGCAGGAGGGGGCGTGGGGCGCGGGAGGAGGAGGGTGAGTTTAAGTCTTGCTCCAGTTCGGTGCCCTGTCTGAACTGGGCCAGGTCGTCAAAAACCCGTTCCTTGTCCTCAGCCTTTTCCTCGTCATATCAGTCCTTCTAACCCGCTTCCCTCCTCATCCCCCCTGGAAACGTATTGGGGAGTTCTGGGGGCCTCTTGCTGGCTTGGGGTCCGCTTGGGTGCCCCTTGGGGGCCTGCTGAATGCCCGTCGAGGATCTCGGAGTTGTCTTGAGCGCAATGGTTCGACCAAGCGCTCCCAAGGAGCCTCCTGGGAACGTCTGAGCGGGTTTGGGGGGCGTGTTGGGCCCCTCTTGGGGCGGTCCTGGGTCTTTTAGGGCGACGCTAAGGCCGTTGTGGGCCGTCTTTGGAGCCACTTCGGATGTTCTGAAGCTTTGCCGAGGTTTCTGAAGCCGAAGCCTCGGAAGCAAATCAGATCGAAGATCATTAGTTTGTCATTGTTGCTGGCCTCTTCGGGCCTCGCTGTGGGCCTCGTTGGGCGTCTCTTCGGGGGGCCTCTTGGGGATATATCGGGGCATTTGGGTGGTCGTTGGGCAGTCCTGGACTGGTTCTGGGGCATTTGTCGTTTGTCTTGAAACCACATTGAGTCCGAAAAAAGGGGCTGAGGGGACGTATGGACGGAGGAAGGCGGAATGCGCACGAACGTGGGGCGTTGAGGAAGAAGAGGCAGAGGAGAGCGCGCGGGAACCGCCTACGATCAGCTCTTGTGGGGAGCTCTCACAGGTCTCCCCAACTGTTGTGGAAACCCTTGAGGGGGACCACGTGACGCATGTGTGGCAGTCTGCCACCTTGCTACAGGCGCCCTGGTGTGAGCTAGACGACGTGCGGCCTTCCATGCGCTGTCAGGTTGAGTAAGACCGCGGCGCGCCAACGCCGCGGCGTGCATTTAAGTGTTGCGCAAGCCTCGGCAGCGAGGGAGCACGTTGGAGAAATGTTCCTGGAAGGACCCAATCATATGCAGTTGTGGGTGCCGCAATTGTGAAAATCTTCTTCGGTGAAGCTCCCTATGGGGCCACGCACTGGGTGGGGGGGAACGCATGCGGGCGGTAGCACTGGGGCCGTCGGTGGAGCTCCCTACGGGGCCACGAAGCGCTGTACTGGGTGGGGGGGACGCATGCTGGCGGTAGCACGGGGGCCTTCGGTGAAGCTCCCTATGGGGCCACGAAGAGCTGTACTGTGTGGGGGAGACGCACGCAGGCGGTAGCACTGGGGCCGTCGGTGGGGCTCCCTACGGGGCCACGAAACGCTGTAGTGGGTGTGGGGGACGTATGCGGGCGGTAGCACTGGAGGCTTCGGTGGAGCTGCCTATGGGGCCACGAAGCGCTGTTCTGGGTGGGTGCAAAATGCCAAATTGGGCCTCCGGCACGCATGCGGGCGGTAGCATTGGGGGCTTCGGTGGAGCTCCCTATGGGGCCACGAAACGTTGTACTGGGCAAGTGAAAATGCCAAATTGAGTTCGGGGGCGAATGCGGGCGGCCCCACTGGAGTTTCGGTGGGGCTCCCTATGGGGCCACGAAACGCTGTACTGGGCGGGTGAAAGTGCCAAATTCGGCATCCGGGACGCATGCGGGCGGTAGCACTGGAGGCTTCGGTGGAGCTCCCTATGGGGCCACGAAACGCTGAACTGGTTGAGCGAAAATGCCAAATTGGGCTTCCGGGACGCATGCGGGCGGTAGCATTGGGGGCTTCGGTGGAGCTCCCTATGGGCCACGAAACGTTGTACTGGGTGAGCGAAACGCAGGGAGGAGGGGGAGGAAAGAAGGAGGGAGGAGGGACGCGGGGACCGTCTCTTCAAAACGAGGACCCAACACCACAGGATGGTTGGACAAAAAAAAGAAGAGAGAGGCGGAGGAGAGGGAGAACAAGGAGGAGAAGGAGGAGGAGGCTCTTGGATGCCTTGGAGGGCCCTCTCGGGGCCTCCCGTCGGCGGCACCCGTCGTGAGCGGGGGGCACCCCGTCGGCTCCAGGTTGGACGGTCTTCCCAAATTTTCGCGCGAGGCCAGCAGAGTGGAGTTGACTTTTCGCCCCACAGACCCTCCTCCCCCACCTTCTTCCTTCTAGGCCACCCAGATGGGGTCAGAGTAGATGGGGTCGACGGATCGCTCCGCATCGCCGATGCATCGCCGACGCGGCTCGATGTGGATTCCGTTTTGCCTCGCATCCACGTCGCCGATGCATCGCCGACGTCGGCGATGCTTTGCCCATGAATCCCTGCTGCATCGTCGATGCATCGGTGATGCGGCGCGATCCTTCGACCCCATCTACTCCGACCCCATCTGGGAAGCCTCTATTCCTTTCCTCGAAGAAGAGGAAGAATAATCATAAGAAGAAGAAGAAGAAGAAGAATCATAAGACGAAGCGCCATAAACATAGACTTTTGGCGCTCCCCGCGGATTTCTTGGATCCGCGCTGGGCACCCCCCAGCCTGGCGCGCTCCGCGCCAAAAGAATGTGTATGGCGTTGTTCGTGTTATGTTTCCCCACCCCCCCTTGCCAATGCTATCTGCCCCCCTCCCGGCGTCATCCCCCCGTTCTCCTCCGTCCTCTCTCTATGCAGCTCTCCTCCCCACGTCTCTTATTGCTTCTGGCGCTCGGCTGCAGTTTTAAAGCGTTGGCAGGTCGTGCTCACCCAGCTCTAACTCGAGGAAGGCACGATTCGACATGGCGGCCTCGGTTCATGCTGTATGTATGAAATTCATATGCCCTTGTCGAGTGCAGTTCTCTCGTTAATTGTTCTCTGTCCCTCATCCCTTCTCTCTCCTCCTCATCCTTATCCTCCTCCTCCTCCTCCTCTTCCTCATCGCTTCTCTGCTAGGGACCCGGCCACTTCTGTTGTCAGAGAACCAACGCATTCGTGCAGTGTCTGACAAGCGTCGGGAGTGTCTGACCGCCAGGCTTCTCTGTCAGTTCACAGAAGTCCTCTTGCAAGTTCTTGCAGTTAATGATCGGCATCGGACGGCCAGGCCGACACGATGCACTCACTAACACCGTTTTGACAGCCATGCTTATTGGCGTTAGATCCTTATGTCATCAGTGTGGCGCGTCGCCTTGCTCTGGCCACCCACCGAACACGCGGGAAACGTGGACGGGATGCCTAAGAGGAGCAGGAGGAGCAGGAGCAGGAGGAGAAGGAGGACGAGAGGGCGGGAGGGATGGGAAGAAGGGAAGGGAGGAGTGTACGAGGAGGAGGAGGCGGAGGAGGAGGAGGAGGAGAAGAAGAAGAAGAAGGCGGAGCAGGAGGAGGAAGACAACGACGAAGGGGGAGGATGGAGAGAAGGAGGAGCAGGACGGTGGGGAGGAACAGGATGCGGAGGAGCAGGAGGGGGAGGGGGGCAAGGAGAGAGGGGGGCGGAAGTGTAGGAGGAGGGAAGAGAATCGGAACAGCTGCAAAGCCGAACAAAAGCGGAGGCGAGGGAAGGGGATAGGATGGAGCGACAAGAGTAGGTG